TTATACTACCAGAAAAGTGTACACTATCAGCTGTATCATTCCTTTGAATAGAATGGTTGAATGAGTATGCTGCTGAAGTTGCTGTAAAGTTTGTCCACTGTTTTGAAAAGGGAATCAGCAGCATTCTCCAGGATTGGCAGCAGCTTTGCCAGAACTCGTTTCTCAGCCACTTCTTCCAGGGTGACAAGTTTAGAGCCAACAACAGACTCTGCCTTTCTGATGAGTTTATTGAGTCTGTTGGTGTCCTTTGCAATGATGTCTGTACCCCAGCACACCCCAGTAATGAAAATGGTGATCACAACAAAACAGACTCATCTTCTCTGCACCTTATATTTGCACTACTTTTTTTATGGTGTATATTTATTATATTTTATTTTTAATACTTTAGGTTACTGTTATTTTAAATAACACAATTGAGGACCTATGATGAATTATGGATGCTGTCAGCCCATAGAATTAATTCAGGTGGGTTTATTCTACATTGTGAAAAACATTTTTGGGGGAAGTAACAAATACTTTGCTACTGTATTTAAGTAGATTTTTCAGGTATCTGTACTTTACTTGAATATTTATTTTCCTGATAACTTAAGCAAAAGATTTTAATGTAGACTTGATGCATCAAGGAGACCAGAAGGTGAGACAATGTACAAACACTAAGAAAGCAACATGAGCAATTGTCACCCCCAAGTCTGAAGATGTCTCCCACAGCTTCCCCATATATCTTACTCTACTTGTGTCACCCATCAATGAAAAATGAATTACTGTCACTCTGTATGCAACATGTAGGTGTTTGCATCCTATTGGATACTGATGTAATACGCAAAAGAGTTGAAGTTGGTGAGAGTTGAAGTTGGTGCCTCTCTGTCGGTGTCACTTACTCTGTACAATGTTTGCATTAGGGTGATGGATAAAACAGTAAACAAAACTTTAAAGGCGAAAACATTGCTTTTAATTCAGTGTAAAGAGAGATGAGGTCAAAGTTGTAATTTCCATATTTAGTTTCCATTAAACAGTGTTGTTGATACTTAATTTTCTGAAAGTTATGTAAGATAAATGTAGAATTGGTATCTATTTTGTAGACGGCACAGTGAAACTAGAAGTTTTAAACTTCAGGATTACTTGTTGATAACTTAAATAATTAAATCACACACAATTGTGAGATTGATTTGAATATTATTGTTATGTGTTGTGTTTTTCCTCCACTCTCTCTCTTCTCTTTCTCCCCAGTGTTTATTCGGGTGCTTCCCATTTCCCTTTACCTGCATTGTGAGGGTGCAAGGCTATAAGCAATGCCTGATCAACGCCACGGTAGTTAAGAGGAAGAAAGAAGCAGACAACCAGTCCCAGTGGGCAAAGTGACATCATTTTGAGCTGTCTGTGTAACATTTGGTGATTTCCTTTGTGCGTGCTGTTGGTGCCAGCATGACTGTTTAGTTTGTTAGGGTGTGGTGAATTTTTCCACTGTTGGTTTCTCAGTGCTCTCCTTGTAGAAACCCATAAGATGGAAACAAGTTTTAAGTTGTAAATATACTTTTTCTTAGATGCAAATCTTACGCTGACATTTATTGTTCTTTTAGTAAATACAGTTTGTGGCAAGCAAATTGCCTGCTTTTTTTCTTTTTGTTTCATCTCATTGACAACTTTTCCTCTAGTTTCATTCTGAAAAGTCAACATTAAAATAAAACAACATGGCTCAGTTCAAAACTTTCATCCGATAACTCCTCCTCTCATCTCTGACATGATGTCAACATGATTATTACTTTAACCTTAGTGTCACCATTGTTCTGCATTTGTGAGATGAAATCTACCTCGACGGTGTTTGCTTTAGCACCGCCCATTGAAAGTGACTCAATATTGTCAGTTTCATATATAATACTGTAAGAGTAACTTTGTCCAAAGCGACTTACATTTTGTCACAGTCAGTCACCCATCCTCCCACTTCTCAGTCAGTCTCCCATCCTTCCACCTCTCAGTACTTTTCCATGGACTCCACCTCTGCTTCATCTGCCAGCCAAGCCACACCCTCTCACCAATCCAACACAGCTGTTCCTCATCACCTGCAATCAGCTCAGTATATATTCACCAGCTCCACTCTCAGTCAGTGCCAGATTGTTCTACGCCTTCATGCAAGACTTTCCAGCAGTTATCTCCGGACTGATTCTTCGTTGCCGACCCTGCCTGTTCCTGACTAACCTGCCTCATCCGAAACCTGGTAATCACCTCTGCCTTCCGTCCCTGACCAAGTCTTCTGCCTGTTGCTGTCTAACCAAGTCTTCGGCCTGTTGCTGTCTGTATTGCCTGCCACCTGATCTGCTAAGAGCTGAGAATAAAGACTGTTACCAACTGTCCATGCTTGTTGTGCTGCATTTTGGTTCA